CACTATTCACAATAGCCAAGTATGAAATCAACCTATGTGTTCAACGATGGATAAAGTATGGAATGCTTTATGTATGGAAAAAGGGGAATACTATTCGTCTTTTAAAAAGAAGGCAATCTTACTAATTGTGGCAACAGGGATAAACATTGAGAATGTTAGGTAAAATAAACCAGGCACAGAAAGACAAATACTCTATAATATACTCATTAAAATGTGAAATCTAAAAAAGCTAAACTTACAGAAACAACAGAATGATAGTTATGGGGGCAGTGTAGGTCAGGGAGATGTTGGTGGAGGGCTATTTCAGTTATCCAGGAGGAATAAGTTCAAGGGTTCTATTATATATCCTGGTGCCTGTAGCTAATAACAATATATACAAGCAAATTGCTAAGTGTTATAGCCACTAAAAATAAGTGTATGTGGTAGTATAAATGTTCGTTATCTTGATTTTAGCCATCTCACAATGTACACATATACATCAAGTTGCACAGTACAAATACATACAATTTTTATGTCAATTGAAATACTTAAAAATGAAATAAATCAATAGCACCTCTAAAAAGCAATAACAAAAAGTATAACATTTTGTGTCCCTGGACTCTCAGAAGAAGAGAAGAAAGTGAAACAGAAAAAAAATACCTAAATGGTTGAAAACTTAGCATATTAGGTCAAAGACATGAACCTACACATTTAAGCTCATTAGCCCCAAACAGGATAAATTCAAAGAAATCCTATATGCAGGCACATCATAATAAAACCAATAAAAACAAAATACAAAGCCTCCTGATGTTGCCAGAGAAAAATCAGGTTTTATGTAAGGGAAAAAATTATTTGAATGGCTATACATTTCTCATCAGAAATCATATGACAATTTTTAATGTGTTAAAAGTAAATAACTATTGACACAGAGTTCACATCCAGCCAAAATATCTTTCATGAGGTAAATTAAAATAATGATATTCTCAGATGAAGGAAAATTAAGACCATTTACAGCATACTAGCTCTAAAAGAAATGCTGAAAGAAGTTTTCCAGATAGAAAGCTCATAACACCAACGCAAACTTTGGAACATCAGGAAATTTAAGAGTAAGAGAAATGATAAATATCTGGGTAAATATGATGGAGTATTCTCTTGAATTTAAAAAATCTGTAATAGATCAAAGCAAAAATTGATCTATTAACTGATAGGTTTCATATTTCTACTTAAACTTATAAAATACTGATTTTAAGTAAACTGTAAACATTAAGCTTCTTTATGGTAATCTCCAGAGTAAACACTAAAAATATTATAGATACATTAAAAAATCACAATAGATAAATTAATATACTAAGAAATATTCGAAAAATCCAGAAGTGAGTCAAAAAAGAAGAGGAAGGGAAAACAAAAGGACTTAAAAGAGAGGGATCATACAGAAAACATAAAGTGCACATTTAAATCCAAATACATAAACTAATTAAATGTAAATGGTCTAAATAACAATAAAATATTGTCAGAAGTAAGACATGAACACTGTCTACAAAAAAAATCACTTTAAATATGATGATATAGGTAGTTTTAAAAATGATTTAGGAAACAACCACCATGCAACATGAATGAAAAGGAAAAAAAAATAGGTCAGGTATGGTGCATACCTATAATGCCAGTGGTTTGGGAGGCAGAGAAAGAAGAAGCCAAGGCTAGCTTTGAAATAGGCAAGGCCCTAATCAACTTAGCAAGACACTGTCTCAAAATAAAAAAAAATTAAAAAGAGCTGGGGATGTGACTCAGTGGTTAAGTGCCTCTGGGTTCAGTCCCTGGTACCAAAAAAATAAAAAAGAAAAAAAAATGGATTGGTTCTAAGTATTAATATCAGACAAAGTATTATAAAGTAAAGAAAATTAGCAGTAAGAAGGAAAATAATGACAAAAGGGGTTAGTTCATCAAGACATACCAAGGATATTTATGCACCCAACAACAGAGTTCAAAATACATACAGCAAAAAATGACAGAACTAAAGGGAGAAATAGATCATGTAGTTGGGAGATGTCAATACTCCTCTCCCACTGTCGGAATCTAGTAGAAAATCATTAAGGAAACAGAACTTTTAAACAATATCAGTAGCATCTTCATTTTTTTCAAGTGTACATGGAACATTTACCAAGACCAATCCATATCCTAGGTCCTAACTAACAATTTTAAAAGAACTGAAATCATACTAAATATATTTTCTGACCATAATAAAACAAACAAATCACTGACAGTTATCAATGAAAATCAGAAAATATTTGGAATTTAACAAAAATGAAATTGTAACACAACAAGATTTGGGAAATAACAAAAGTGCCTAAAGGCAATTTTATACCATTAAATGTTTTTGTTAGAAAAGCATGAAATCAACAATCTAAACTTCTTCTGTAAGGAACTAGAAAAAGAGGAACATATAAAACCAAGGCAAGTAGAATGGAAGAAACAATAAAGATAAGAAATCTATGAAACTTAAAACAGAAAAACAACAGAGCATATTAATAAACTACAGGCTGGTTCTTAGGAAAGAGCCATACAATTAATAAACCTCTAGTAAACTGTCAAAAAGAGAGGACATGAAAATTCAACCATTCAGATGAAATAGGCCTATTCCTTGATACTTAATGATACTTAAGATTTTTTAACAATACAAAAGGCAATTTTGATTATGGTGAAAAGAATTATTCAGTCTATCCTAAAGCCTTTTAATTATGGAAAGTTTGCTTTATATGTTAGATATTCATTACTACAACTGTATTCTTTAAAAATAAACATTAATGTTCAGACTGTAAGAACTGAGTTAAAGGCTGGAGATGTAGCTCAGTAGCAGTGCGCTTGACCAGAATGCCCAGGGTCCTCGGTTCAATCCTCAGTTTTACAATGAATAAATAAATATTTTTTAAATTGAGTTAAAACAGCACAAAATCAGAAAAAATAGTAATTAAATGTGTAAATATATACATGCCTCCAAATGTAAAAATAGAGCTTGTAAAATAATATTAAGTTGTTTAGAGCCTTGCTAAATCCAGCCTCGGCAACTTATCAAGGCTCTAAACAACTTAATAAGATTCTGTCAAAATAAAAAATTTAAACAACAACAACAAAAATGCTGGAATGTGGCTCAGTGGTTAAGTGCCCTGGGCTCAATCCTGGTGTACCAAAACAAAAAATGACTGTAAAGAAGAAAAAAAAAATTGTTTAGAAAAATTTAAGTTTTAAAGTCTAAAAAGACAGAAAACCCTAAAAAATTTTTAAATTAGAATGAATATAAGGCCCCAAACCAAAACCACGAGTTTAAATAGTTTAGGGAAGAATACATTAAATTTGACAACATGGGAAAAAGCTTCATATCACTGGATTTCACAATGATGTCTTGTATATGACAACAAAAGCACAAACAACAAAATAAATAAATTAGAATGAATAGAATAAATCAAAATTTTAAATTTCTGTGCATCAGAAGACTCAACAAAGTGAAAAGGTCACTCACAGAATGGGAGAGAATATTGCAAATCATGTATTTGGTAAGGACCAAGAGAACTCCTACAACTCAACAACAAAAAACAATCCATTAAAACATGGCAAAAGGCTGAGTAGGTCAGTGGTAAAGTTCATGCTTTGCAGTCCTGGTTTCCATGGGGTGAGGGAGCAGGGACTGCTTAGCAGTATGATTTCTTGCATCTAGAATGCTCTTTGAAAAAGGAATCAATTTTATTAATATTTTTATAATAAATATACAAAGAGCTTAAGTTCTTCAAATTTAAGATGAACACGCAGGTTGAGACAAGTCACAAATAAAATATATTATAAAAGTCATTTTTATAATCAGATTTGGATAATCAAGTACAATTACTAGAATTTAGGAAATCAAGTATTTTGCAATGTAAATTCTTAGGAAAAAGCACTGAAATAATTACCTTTAGGAAGCAACACAGATGTTGTTGACTTTTTCTTAAATATTTCTGAAATTTAAAGAACTAAGAATTTACTTGAATTAATTTTTTAAGTCATTTGTAATTGTAAATTTTTTTATTATTATTTTTGGTGCTGAGGATCTGAAAACCCAGGACCTCACATATGCTAAGTAAGACCTCTTAAAAAGGTACATCCCGGCCCTACAGTTGCAATTTTTATCTCATTAGAACATAAACTGCCTCAAGTTGCTTGGTCACTTCCAATGATTACTACTTTAGAAATAATTTGCAAGACTGAAGTTGCTAAACTGCTCCCCTAAACATTTTAGAATACTATGAAGTTAGGAACTTGGGGGGGGGGTAACATACAAATTTTTTGGTTTAACCTACCCTCCAATTCTTCCATATTATTTTTATTCTTGCTTACATTTAAAAAAAAACATTTTCAACAGACCTTATCTAATCATGGAACCATCAGGACATTCTGAATATAATCATACAGATATTACAGAAGAACAAATTTTATATCGAGTAATTAAAGGACTGTAATTTTGCTCTAAGGATATCTGCTTTCACAAGAGGTTTTTTCCAACACCAGGGGCAAAGTAATATTTTCTGGGGCTATTACAAAACATCTAGACAAATTAAATTTTTTAGCTTTATACCAAAGTTTATAAATACATCTACCAGAAACAATTTTCAGGCAAAATGGTAGAATGAATTTTGTCACTAACAAAAACCTAGTTTATATCTTTGCCAAAGAAATATTTAAATAAGCATTATTTTTAAATAACCTCATGAGCATGTGAAATAAAATAATTTGCTATACAGCAAGCTCAGGTCAGTATCTTCCCTTTTCCTTTCAATGAGTATTTTAACACAACTTTTCTCTAATAGTGTTCAGTTTTAAATGGATAGACTCTGACATGATAATTCTTTAAAGAGTTAACTCTCCATAAGTTGTTCTTGTTTTTCTGAGGACATATTTATGTTCATAAGGAATCTCATGTTAATCAGTTTTACATTTTCTTGCTCAAAATAAAAATAGCTTTCATATAGTATGTTTCAAAGATAAAAATCACATTACATTCTTGGGAAACCTTTATTTAAAATGCATACAAGATAAGTGCAGTAGTACCTGCAGGTATATATATTTATTAAAAGAAAAAGAATTCTTAGGAAAATTCTACTGTTCATCTTGAGTACTTCATAAGCTCCCTCTGCTGGCTATCAATTTAAATAGAGAAAAAAAAATGTAGACCTTTTTCTTTTAAAGAAAGGAACCTTTGAGGGTGACAGGAGATACAAGATGAAGAATAAAATTGACAATGCTGTAGTTTAAAGGGAAAGGGAACTATGATTGACAATAATTATATATTTCAAAATGTATAGAAGAGAGGACTTTGAATGTTCACAGCACAAAGAAATGATAGGTTTGAGATGATGAATATGCCAATAACCCTGTGCCTCATAAATACGTAATTGTGTTAATTAAAAAATATGTATGTATGTGTGTGAGTATGCACATGCATGTATGTGTGGGGGGGATGTATATACACATATATACCCAAAAGGGGGAGTTCTCTTTAATAGGGACCAGGTCTAATTGGTAACTAACTTCCCTAGTTAGCTTGGGACTTCCAAACAGATTGGGTGAGGAGGAATTGAAAAGAAGGGGAGTTACTGCCAACTTTGAATACATTAGTCATTAAATTGCCAAATAGAAAACATTTAGTATAAAATAAGTCAATTATAAAAACTTAAGATTTGACACTAGAAAAATTAAGAATTGAAATAAATTTCACAAACTTCACTAGGACAAAAAGCTTATACCACACTATTTAATCTACTTAGTTTCAATATTAAGATTTATTTTTTCTTCCAGGAGATTAAGTAACAATTTAAATAATCATCAGGATGTGTACGAATGAACATCCACTCAGATAAAACATTACTGCTTAAAAGTGGCTATCTAAGAAATATTTTGCATGTAATAATAATAAATATATTTTATGTTTAGGTTAACAGGCACCATCTTGAGAGCAGAAAAGTTTGTTTTTTTTAACCAATAAATAAATTACATTCAAGAAAAAGAGGTGTTAATATCTGAAGTATGATATATCCTTAAATGTTTTTCTTCATATAGCACCCAAATTTCCAAACTGTCTGGAAAGTATCTCCTAAAATATAACTCATACCTTAAGTCATAAAAATAATGGCCAAGAAAAAAAATCAATGTAAGACAAAATTTACAGTTTATATTCTTAATTCCCCATTCAATAAAATATCAATTGCCAATTTATTAAAAGTAAATGAACTATATATATGCAGTCCGTTAGAGCTGAAAATCTGAACTATATATATTTAAAAGTCAATCTTTCTGACAGTATTTAAAATATTGCATCTCTGGTGGCAAACCTGAAAACTATCAAACATTTTATTTCCCTAGTTTTCATACTTCAGCAGTTAGTCCTACCCCTTTTTATCCTCTTAATACCATCCAGCACTTTGTTTTGTAAATACACTTACTTATATGCCAACACAAAACACTGACAATTCTCCTTGATAAACAAGGAAATACCAAAATAGTCCAAGCCTACAGCTTTGTTTCCAAAGTGTGGCACAGGCTAAATGATAGAAAGAGAAAAAAAAAAAATCAATGGCCCTTATTGATGCAATCAGAATGCTCCTGAGAGTCCACAACTGTTTGACAATTTGCTGATGTAATCCTGAAGAAAGTTTCAACAGATTGTGCAGACAAGTATCAGAGAATAAGTCTTTGATTGATAATCTTTCTATTTATTTCTGCCAAGGCGACTGAAAACACGAAAGCCTTTTCATCAGAGAGGTTAGCATAGATGTCAATTTCCTTTTCCTGTTTCTCTGTTAAAAGAAAAAGGGAAAGCTTAATATAAATGCAGCAACTTTAAAAAAAATTATAAAGCTTTCAAGTATTTCTTTTAATGACAATAAATATTATACATAATTGTACAATATGTTTAGTGTTATGCTACTAATTTTTTTTTTAAATTACACAAAGGTATTGAAATGGAGACTCTATTTCTATACATACACAGTCCAATAGCTACATCATTTCTATAAGAATCTCATCTATTTCTTTTTCCTCACTACTATGAGTTCAATCAAAATTTCTAACCCTAGATGTTTATTTCTGAACATCAATGATAATATATTAATATTGTCACCTTATAGCCCTGCTATAGAAAACAAGAACAACATTTATTTCCACCCTTCCCCTCCTCATTACAGATGAAATCCAAGTTCACAGTAAGAAAATCTGAAAAACAAGGTGGGCATGGTGGATCATGCTTGTAATCCTAGTGACTCAGGATGCTGAGACAGGAAGATTGCCAAATTCAAGGCCAGCTTCACCTAATGAGAACCTATCTCAATACAAAATAAAAATGTAGCTCAAACGCAGAACATTACTAGGTTCAATCCCTAATACCACAAAAAAATAAAATTGAGAATTTGAAAAATAAAGATAAAACCACCTATTAAATTATGAGCCAGCCAAAACCACAATAAACATCTTGGTGGATGTTTTTTCCAAGTGCCCTTTTCAGCTTGTACTATGATTTTGTTATTTTGACATTTCAATCAAAATTAAACATGCAAATAATTTAGTCAAATTATTTTACAAAACTTGTTACCAAAAAAAAGAAGTCCATCCATCCCTCCATGCAAATTTCCCACTTTCCAGATGCAACTACTGATTTTTTTTTCAGTTACTTCTCTTTGTTTTTACAAAAACATATCTATCTCTAATTTTTTTAGAAGATGCTAATTCAATTATTGGTTTAGACATTACATATTCAGTTTCCACCATGAAAAATTAGGCTTTTTTTTGTTTTGCATCTCCTGTTCCCACCACAAACACTCTGGTTTTGTGCCCTCACCTTCTCATTACGAATTGCAATTTCAGTAACACCCATTTTTCAGTGACTATGTGAATGATTTCACTCTTCTTGCACATTGTTTTCCCTGAATTGAATCTTTTTTCAAAACTTTTTTATAGTTATTTTTTAAATTATCACTAAAGTTACATAACAGTGAAATACACAAATACATTAAGAAGACAACTAATGAGTTCTGATAAATGCATACACTCATATAACCCACAAAATGATGATATACAAAATTTCTTTTACTCCAGAAAATCCCTCATGCTTTTATAGTTAGTCCCTTCCTACGCCCACCAGTAACCACTGTACTGATTTCCATTTCCATAAGATTCTCTTACTAAACTTTATATAAATGGCGTCATATAATATGTTCTCTTGTGTCTAGCTTCTTTCAATGTTTTAAAAATTCATCAATGGTATTAATATAATAATAATTTGTTCCTTGCTAGGCAATATTTCACTGTATTCCAATATCATTTTGATTCTTTCCTTTTTCTGAAAACCTAAATGATTTTTCTCTTTCTAGAGATATATAATATGAAGAAACACTGAGGTATCATTTCTATTTTTAACCATCCTTTAGATTGGGAATTTCACAGGTTCTCTTAATATAGAAACTCAAGCTCCTTCAGGTTTGGGAACATTTCTTGAATTGTTTCATTGAAGACTTCCTTCTCCTCCATCTTTTGTGTTTTTTAGGGTTTTTTTCCTTTCTGAAACTGATTATTTATAGATGTTAGACCTGAGAATTTACTATCTTTTCCATCTTATTTTTTTAACCTCTTTTCTTATTACTATCCTTTCTAGAACTTTTCTTCAATTTTATCTTTAAATTTTCTATTAAGGTTTTTCATTTCTGAGAATCATATATGCTTTGGGTGCTTCTGAATATTTTCAAGTTTATATTTTGAAGTTCCTCAGGTGCCTTTTTGACCTCTGTAATTGCCTTTCAAATATTATTTGGTCTAGTTACATGATTATATCTTCTTTTGCTAAAGATTATTAATGATAGTTTTGATTTTTTTCTTTTCCAAGCAAAGACTTGTTTTCTCTAAGTTATTCCTTCATACCTTTTGATTTAGTCTCAGCCTTTCACATATTAGATACTTTCTTCCAGGTATCTGGGCTATTCCTGGTAAAGTGTTCACATTTAGAAGTATTAGCAAAAAAAGGTGATTAGAAGCATGTACACATATGTGGAACTTGACTGTGAAAGAATGAATGACAGTATTTTTATTTTAGGCTTTTTCTCCTGGGCTCTTGAGATTCCCTAGAGAAGATTATTTCTGATCTCTTATTTGGAACACAACTCAACATTTACCAAGAACTCAGTATCTATCAAGAACTCAATATTTACCAAGTCAAATTTTCACCTAATGTTCCTAAGATAAATATAGTAGCCCTCCCTCAACTATGTCTGGTGTTCCCTAGACTAGAGACTTTGTTTTAACTTCTACTTTTTAAAGATAAACTTGTAGGAGGCAGAGGGAATAAGGATACTTTCCTTTTCCATTTTTCCTTCTTCCTATCCTTTTTCAAAATCAAAAAGGATAATTTTTAAAGTTTTGGTTTTTTAGACACATTGTAAGATTTTTTTTCCTTAAATCATATGTTTAAAATGAAAGTTAAAACTTGCTTCAAAAATTTTAAGTGTCCTTTAAGAGTAGTGACTCAATAAAAACAGAATTAAACTAAATAGCTACTCAGTCACAAGAAGCATTACCAAAGAATCTATTCCAAAATATACAGACATTTCAATAGTTTGTAATTTCTATCCATATATTTAGAGAATAATGGTCTACATTAACAACTGGAAAACAACAATCTGGGTGCCAAATCTCACCCATCTCCTGTTTTTGTAGCTAATTTCCAGCTATAATGACAAAGTAAAGTAGTTGTGACAGAGACTGCATGGTACACAAAGCCTAAAATATTTACTATCTAATATGTAAATTTTTTTACAGAAAAAGTTTGGTGAATTCCAGTCTAAAAGTAAAAGATTCCAGATTGTGCTGTAGAAATTGCTTTGAGCATTTTCCTGCAATGTGAATTAAAAGTAAATAAATTTAAATAGCATATATTACTCTTGAAATAGCTTCCTTAAAAGTTTTCTATAATACACTAAAATACCACCTGAGAAATTTTACAGCCAAATAAATGCTTCTTTTTTCAAGTTATCATGAAATAAATATTCAAGTCTGTATATGTAAAGTCTTAGCAAAACAATTCAGACTTTATTTCCTCAACTAAAAGACTGTCATTGTGTTTTCTTATCTCTTCTTACCATCAGAAGAATTTCCTTCTCTATTCTTTCATTTACATTCCCTTTACATCAACTGAAAAAAATATGTTGTTCTCTGGACCAAGCAATATTTCCCTTTTTTCTTCTCTGTTGACTTTTCTTTACCCAGTTTCCTTTCTAAAATAACCTTTGACATAAATATCCTGATGATCTATTAAATAAGCACATTCAAATTAAGCAAATAACTCAAAACGCTCTAGAAAAACATAATTGAAAAAGGAAAGAGAAAAAAAAACAGTAAAATTATCCAAGGAATTAAAGATCCCAAGTACAGTCTTCATGGATAGTCAATTTATGATATAAACATCATTCCTTTAGTCACACTATCTTAAGACACCTTTGATAAAAATTAGGACAGCTATACCAATGAAGTTATTTTCTCCAACAGTACTAACTTCATTCAAATAAAAACATACAAAACATAGAGAAATGGTAAACAGAATATCCTCAGTGTTTCAAATAACAACAGTATATATTTATGCAGGAAGCACTTGAGTATCTAACACAGAACAACTAAAAAAAGCAAAGCATAATTCACAAATATATTAAGAAACTATAAATGCATTTCACTACAGATGAAATCATTTTGACAGAGGTTTTTAAAGAATTATAAAGAGTATCCCTTTTTCATTAATTACTGGCTTTGAAAATCTCAATTTAAAAAAGACATTCATGGGCATATAGGTATTCATTTTACTAGTTTCCCTATTGTTGAATATGTTGAAATTTTCCATGATAAAAAGTTTTTTAAATGACATATACATCAAAGAAAAAAAAGTTGAAGTTTTAGTTCAAGTTATTTGTAGACTACTTATAAGTAAAAAGGAGAAGACCTATAAGGAAAAACAGAAATACATTTTGGATCAAGAAGAATTCACCTAATTTTAACAAAACCTGCCTCAATGCAGGGAGCACATAAATCTCCCAATAAACATTTTAAAAATTCATACCAAAAACACTTCAAACATTAAATGTTTAAAACTCATGGCATAATAGTTTAAAATAAGTCTTAAAAGAACTTTGACTTGAGTTTTTTTTTTAAAAAAAAAAAAAGTACAATGATTTTAATATGCTTCTCAAGGATGTTATATACAAATTATTATCTCTGGCTGGGCACAGTGGAATGTCTGTATTTCCAGCAACTTGGGAAGGCTGAGGCAGGAGGATCACAAGTTAGAGGCCAGCATGGGCTACTTAGACCCTTTCTCAAAATAAAAATTTTAAAAAGGGCTAGACATATATGTAGCTCAGTGGTAGAGAGTTCCTGGGTTCAATCCCCAGTACCAGGAAACAAAAACAAAAAACTTATCTGTGTATTTTACTAATACCAGTTTATAGCAAAGTGGATTTTACCTAATCTAAATCTTTCCAATAAGAATTTGTGTGAGTTTTTTAACTAAGCATCTACCATAGAGGAAATATTTCAAACTAAAATATAGATGTGATTTTAAGTCCAGAAGCTCATGCCGGACTCCACTTTCTTCACTACTATCTAATTAAGATCTCTGACCAATTTTAATACTGGGGGGAAAAAAAAGCTGCTTGAATTTATTCATACCTCTTTCTTCCTCATGTTTTTTGGCAGATGCACTTTTAGGTCTTCCTCTTCCTCGTCTGATATGATCTGAATGGCTGTTACTTCGAGACCTCTTTCTGTTTTCTAAATCTTTATTTACTGTAGAATTTATCTTCTCTCTCCTAACTCTCTCTGTTCGCCTCCTCTTGGCCTCATGCTTGTTTTCTGTATGGGTGAATAAAAGTGATATATTTTAGGGCTTAGCAAGACCTGTTTGTCCTAGACTTGTTTATTCTCTCTTTTTCTTTCTAAATAGCACTAGAATATGCTTCCTGGCATATTTTATAAAACTACAGCAATATATGTTCCCCTAACCCACGAAGGAAAAAGAGAAGCTCAACAGAATTCAGATCCACATTACACATGAGAGGTAGAAAAATTTTGAAAGAGAAAACAAAAGTTTCATTTGACAGCTTTAATTTCAGCCCCTAAAAGTTTGAACAATTCCACAGCAACCTTTCTGCGTTTCTGTTTCCAAGCTAAAAATTATAAAAGAAAAGGAATAAAAAGAACTCCATTCCTACCTGAATTATATACTGAAATATGTCAAATATGCAGAAGCAAAACTAACCTTATGTATAACATGCTAAGGTTACAATAAAAATCAAATAGAGGGGCTGGGGTTGTGGCTTAGTGGTAGAGCGCTTGCCTAGCATGTGCTAGGCCTTGGGTTCAATCCTTACCATATAAAAATAAATAAATAAAATAAAGGTATTGTGTCCAGCTACAAGTAAAAAATAGAATATTTTAAAAAATCAAATAGAGAGCGCCCACAGAAAATCTTTTAAAAACATTATAAAACTGAGTAGTTTTCACGTAAGCCACATAAGAGGCAATTACTGATATAAGAGAATGTTGCTCCATAAATGGAATGGCAATAGAGGAACTTTACTAATTTGGTGATTTAATTAACTCAAAAAACCACCCACCCTACTCCAAATAAATCAAAATGCTGGATAAAAAAAAAATAATTTAAAGAACAAACAAAAATTCTTTTAATACATACCTGAATTCAAAAGCAAGAAAGAGAATTCCACAAATGCCTAAGATCACAATGGTAAGAGGGCAAAATGAATGGAAAAATTCATATCCCCAGAACTAAAGAAAAACAATTTAAAAGACTATACAGTAAATTTAAAAGGCCATTGTTAAAAATAATAATTATTATCTCTTAGTACTATACTTTTAGAGAATTAGTAAATTCTAGGTCAGAGATTCAACATATACTGGATGATAAAATAACATTTAATTATTCTAGATGGGAAAAAGTTATTAATCAGGGCTGTTAAGACTCAGGGTCCAATTTGAAAAGGCTCCCATTGAGTATAAGACAATATGAACATCAATAAAATAAAAACAACAACAGACTAAAACATACCAAATATACTTAAAGCCCTGAGTACACAACATTAAAAGTAAAAACTACATGGCCACTGTAGGAAGTTACTGTAAGAATCAATTCATTATTTTGAAAACTTAAAAGGAAAGAATAAGGAATGACAGAATTAGAGTCTCACCATTTTTCAATCTGATCTAAGCACTAAACATTAATAACTGCTAACATCACTCAAAGAGAAATAAGCAGACTTTAAATGCCTACTAACAGAAATACACATTACTACCTACTAATTATGTTAAAAAAAAATTCAGTCTCATCACCATTAGATCCAACTTACAACATAAAAAAAAAAAACTAAAAGAACCTATACCATGGCTAGGTACATTCAAAGGGACAGGTAAAGCAGCTTTTCAACATACAATTTATAAGGGGAAAAGAAAGAAAACAGTAGATAAAAAGAGAACTAAAAACACATCACCCATACGAAGACATGAATCGTGTGACTCTACTTTGTGTACAACCAGAGACATAAAAAATTGTGCTCTATATGGGTAGTAGGAGTTGAAATGCATTCTACTGTCATATATAACAAATTAGAATAAAATTTTTAAAAATACACCACCCATATGTAATTTATGGAACTTACTTGGAATCTTTTTTTTCAAAACTTTAAAATCATTTAAGAGTAAAGTAAAAATCTGAACACAATTTGGACACCTGATATTAACAAATGATTGTTAATTTTTTATTGTTATAATGGTATTATGTTAGTTTTTAAAGGTCTATCTTTTAGAATCCTGAAATTATACGATATTTGCTTCAAAACAATAATCAAGGGAAGAGGTTGTAGGTATGGATAAGTCAGGGTTGATTACAGTCTACTTTTTTGTATGTTTAGAATTTCTCAAAAGAAAAAAAAGGTTAAAATAAAGTGATAAGTAATACTTTACACAGTACGCCTCTCAAGGTTTAACAGTGAATTCAGGTTTGTTTCTTCAGCTACCCACCCATCTCTGCAAATTTCTTCACAACCACACTCTCAAAGAGGTGCCTGTACTTTCTCACCTCCAATTTACTCTTCAATACATGCTAGTAAACAGTTCTCAATTCAGTGAAATTGAACATCAAGCAAAAAAAAAAAAAAAAAAAAAAAAAAAACACACCTCTATTTTCAAATCAACTTCAATTTGAGAAACTTCACTTTTTATCATCTTAAACCATCTTTCAAAAAATTCAATAAAGATGACCACTCCACTCCTTGAAATTATTTCTTCACTGGATTTTCAGGCTCTTTAGATTTCCCAGCCATTCCTCTTTATTACTTTTGCTGTGTTCCCTTCCCTAGGTGCTTTCTCAATCTCTAATGTTAAAGCCCCAAGGACCTGTTCTAAGCTCTTTTTCCTTTATCATTTTAACTTTTACAGACCCACAGTATCAAACACTACTGTTATGGTAGCTTCAAAGTTTATATCTTCTGCTCTAATCTCTTCCCTAAACTGCCAGACAACTTCACTTATATTAAGTATTTTAAATGTATTAAAAATAATTTGCTTCCTCTTTCCAATTTGCTTATTCTCCAACCTTCATCGTATTAGTAAAAAAACACCAACCAGTTGCACAAGCCAACTGATTCGTCTCGCTTCTTATACCACCATAAAGGTCCATTCATACTCTTACCAAAATATATCCATAATCTTCATTTCTCCATGTGCAACATCCTAATCAAACCCTTTCTCTACATAGCAGCCAATATTATCTTTTTTAAAAAATTGTATATCTTTCCTTCATGAAGGCCTTTCATTAACTTTGAAAATGATGAAAAGGCTTTCATTAGTTTTCCACTGTTTAGAATTAAGATTCCTAACCACAAGTTCCCATAAGATCCAACATTCATCTTTCTCTCCAATTCTATTGCATATTATACCACATCATTAACTACAATCTAGACATACCTTTTTTTTAATAAAACAAGCTCCTCCCTCTGCCTGAGTCTAAGTATCTGTAATCCTCCTGCCTAGAGCTCTCCTCAAAGAGGTCTTCATGAGACTGGCTTTCTCCCTTCAGATATCCATCTATATGTTCCTAAATGTTTTGGGGGTTATTTGTTTTGTTTTCTGTGATGCTAGGGATTGAACACAGGGCCTTGAGCACATAAGTAAGCACTCTACCACTGAGCAACACCTCCAGCCCAGCCATAATTTATTTGTCACTCCCTCTGAATCTCCTAACCAACTTACTTCCTATCATCTCCTACTGCAATCTATAATATATTTACTAATATGTTTAATGTCTCCCCCATCAAAATATACTTTATGAAAGTGGGATTCCGTTGTCTTTTCACAGAATGTAGAACATAAACTCCACATATTAAGTATTACCAAATAAATAAAATCAGACTCAGTATACACATTTTCCTCACCACCACCTCAAAATTCTACTGAAATGAAGGTAAATGTGAGAAAAGGGAAAATAAATTTGTGCTGGAAACAAAGAAAAGGTGCTACTAGTGATCCAAAAATTACATAATTTCAGCAAAGTAGAAAGCCAATGGTTCTGATTAAGAAATCAGGATAGAGGGCTGGAGCTGGAACTCAGTGGAAGAACACTTGCCTAGTACTTGTGAGGCACTGGATTCAATCCTTAGCACCGCATATAAATAAACAAAATAAAGGCATTCTGTCCATTTCCAACTACCAAAGCAAAAAAAAAAGAAAAAGAAATGAAACTAGAATAGAAGGATAACCCAAAATAGGAATAAATTATAGCTCCTATAGAAGGGAGAGAGTTGTTCTTACTAAGAGAGTCCTAAAGATATTTCCAGAACACAATAAAAAGTACAGAAATGGGAAGCAGGCCACTGCATGATCATCAGAAAAACTATAGAACTACTGCACAATAACTGAATCTATATACAGAGAGCAACTAACATACAGAAATAAAATGCAAAAAACAGAGCAATGTGCAAGAGAACTTTAAGCCTTAAAAGAAAAAAGGCAACTCCTCACAAGAATGAAATACTCTATGAGATTTCACATCCTGTTCCAGAATGAAGCTTTGCTTATTTTAGTAATAACAAGGATATTACTAAGCAGTATCCTGCATACTTACCTAATGCACATCCAAAACTGCTGCTAAACTCCTCCCAATTATACACTAATAAAAACTGTTATTAAAACAGGAAATCAAGGATTACCAACAATTTGAGGAAAATAAAAAGTATGAGAGAAGGATCAAGGAAACAAGAATAAAATTTTAAAACATTCTATTATTGTGTATCTTCGGAAAGCTATGAAAGGAGATTATATTGTTAAGAATAAGATTCTTGTGCATAAACAGAAAAATCTATTCCAAAATTCATATGAAATCAACCTTAAAAATGTACAAGTAAAGAGATTTCACACTCCCTTCTTTTCAAAACTTACTACAAAACTAGAGTAATCAAAATAGTGTAGTATTAACATAAAGACAAACATACAGATCAAAGGAAAACAAAGAGTTCACAAACACATATATGGTCAAATGACTTTTAATAAAACTTCAAGAATCCTTCACTGAGGAAAGGACAGTATTTTTAATAAGTTATGATAGGAAAACTGGATATCGACATGCAAAAGAATGAAACTGGATCCTTACAACATATACCAAACTCAAAATGAGTCAAAGACCTAAACATAAACTATTAAACATAAAACTCATAAACATAAAACTCTTAGAAAAAATATAATGGAACTGTTTCATGACATTTAATTTTGGCAATAACTTCTTTAATATGATACAAAAAACACAGCAACTAAAAAAAAACAGACAAACGGGACTTCATCAAAAT